CTTTCTTTCTTTCTTTCTTTCTTTCTTTCTTTCTTTCTTTCTTTCTTCCTTTCTTTCTTTCTTTCTTTCTTCTCCTTCCTTCCTTCCTTTTATTCTTTCCTCTCCTCTCTCTCTTCCTCTCTCCATCTTTCCTCTTCTCCTCCCCCCCTCTTTTGGCAAAGCTTGGCATGGAACTTAGGTTCTTGCACATGGTATGTAGGTTCTATGTGAACAAACTATGTTGTCATATTTTTGAGACAGTGCTTCACTATGTAGTTTAGGCTAGCCTTGAACTCACTATGTAGCATGATCTTCTTGCCTTTTTTCCTTCATTTTTGGTTTTTTTTGTTTTAACAGGGCTAACTCTGCAGCTCAAAAGGCCTTGAACTTAATATTCTTGCCCCTGTCTCTTGATAATTTTAAAATTTAAAATTATTTTTAACTTATACTTAAAAGTATATAAGATGTGGCCAGGAGATAGCTTAGTTAATAAAACGTTTACCTTGTAAGTACAAAGACTCGAGTAAAATCCCAAAACCCATGCTAAAATAGACAGGGAATGTATAATGGGGCATTCTAGGACTACCAACATTGGGGAGATAGAGCGAAGTAGACTCTTGGGGTTCATTGGCTAATCAGGCTAGCTTACTGGCGGGTTCCAGGTGAGTGAGAGAGCTTGTTTCACAAAAATGTTAGATGGTGCCTGAGAGACACCTTAAGTTAACCTCTGGACTTCATAGCATATGCAAATATGCATATAAACTCATATTCATACATACAAACCCATAAAAGTTGTATGTACTAAGGAGTATTTATTGTTTGATATCCATATCATACATGTATGCCTTGTTTAAATCAGAGTAACCACGCATTTCCTCAAACATTTATCACTTCTGCTCAAACTTTCAAAATCCTCTTTTGACCCTTTGAAGGATAGTGCACAATGGTCACCTACACTGTGCAACAGTGTCTTAGAGCTGTGGTCCTTATCTAAGAGTGATCAGATTTCCCCACCTCTCCCAACCCCTTACCCCTACCAGTCTTGAGAAATCATCATCCCACCCTCAAATTCTAAGAAATTAGCCATTCTGATTCCACCTGTGCATGACAGCAGGAGCATTGGCCTTCCGGGCCTGACATACTTCACTTACCATAAAGGTCTCCCCTCCTGTCCACTTGGCAGGGTTTGAGAGTTTGAAAAAAATTATATTTATTATTTTATTTTATGTGCATAGATGTTTTGCCTGCATATATAACTGTACACTATGTACATACTTGGTACTTGTAGAGACCAAGGAGGGTGTTGAATCTCCTGGAATTAGAGTTACAGGTTGTTGTGTTTGGCCATGTGGGTACTTGCAATTTGGATCCAGGACTTCTGGGAGAGCAGACGGTGATCTTAGCTGCCACGTCATCCTCCGAAATTTGAGGAGGGTGTTTTGTTGTTGTTTTTGAGACAGAGTTTTGCTCTACCTTAGGCTGGCCTTGAACTCTCAATCCTTCTGCCTCAGTTTTCCAAAATGCTGGTATTATAGGCATGAACAACTGTACCCAGCTCAAAACCATATTAAAAACAAACCAACAAACAAATGACAAAAAAACCCAAAACAAAAGACAAACAACTGTTTTGGAACAGGGTTTTGGTATGCAGACCAAGCTGGTTTGAGCTCCCAATATTCTATCCACAGCCTTTCTTATGCTGGGATTAGAGGCACGAACCACCACGCCTAGCCCGTTTATGTTGTCACAAGTAACAGGACTTCACTTCTTTTTATGGTGCATTTAGGTATTCACTCATGAATTAGACCCTTAGGTTGTCTGTATTCTTACTTAGCTGTTGTGTATAGTGTCCCTTGCTCTTTCTTTGAACTCGTTCAGCACACTGTTGTCTTAGAGCCTCTGTAATTATTCTTCCTTTTGCTTAGAACGTCGTTCCTCTTCCAGATCTTTGTAAGTCTGCACACCACTGTCTTCAGGTCTCTGCTCAATGTCACTTAGTCTTTGACCACTCTAGACTGGTACCTCTACTCAGTCTCTGTCTCCTTTGCTCTACTTGCTACTTTTCTTTTCTGGAAGCCCTTCTCCTAGACAAATGGATGCATATTAGTTTCGGGTCTTGTCTTTTCTAGGAGACTACGAGCTCCTTGAGGGCAAAGAAACGTCTGCTTGGTTTACTGCTAATGCCTGGCATGCAGTACTCACTCCATCCCTTTCTAATGAGCGTCCCAGAATGACAGTAAGAAAAGTCCCCGTGGGTCTCATGGACTAGTGGATCAAAGAGAAGGGAGCTAGAGAAAGAAGGTTAGAGGATCCAGGGCTTTGAACTCAAGACTCAAAGGGTTCATATTGCAGCAAGGAGGAATGTGAAGTATTGGATAAATCTCAAGCTGGGAAGAAAGGGATGGGGTCAGAGCTACCTTTGAGCCGTGAGAATTCGATGTCCTGGAGAACATTAATATACCTCTGTGGGAGGCAAGAACAGCTGTCTCCATTTCTCAAGTGGAGTAACTAGGGCACAGATAATCGCAGCTTCCAGGAATGCTAAGGGCAGATATGCCGCTGGCAGAAGAGGCTACTTAGGCAAGGAGTGTTTCAAGGCAGCTGAAACAGTATTGCTGAGGCTGGGCTAGTGTGGGGGTGGACATAGCTGGCTGGGCCTCAAGGTCTCCTGGGGGCTGGGGTGGTAGGGTGGAGCGACTCTGGCAGTAGCACACTGGGGCCTCTGTGTGTGTGCTGCCTCCAGCCAGCATACTTTCCACAGAGTCTGCCCAGGAACATTTCTCCAGCCTGCTTTGCTAAACTTTTTAAAAAATCCTTTCGGTGTTTTTTTTTTTTTCTATCGAAACGAACCCCCATTCTGCCTGTTGCTGGGTCTTTACATTAGCTGACTGCCAACCTCTCAGGTCGGCCCCCACACTTGCTATCACGTCTAGGGTTTGTTTGCTTGTTTGGGGGACCACTTTTATTCTTGTATTTGGTTCATTTGCTCCTCTACTTGCAGCAATCTTGGTTGCTTCAAGTCTTACCCACTTGGAAGTCCTGTTGCAGGGAAGTGTCCCCCCCCCCCACTATCT